ACGTAAGGCCGTAACACGCAAGCAGTAAAGTCCTAGATTTATCAGAGAGGCGAAACCGGTGTTATATATTCTGATTCGCTGTTGCAATCTAACCAATTATGTGACTTGGCAGCCATTTATAGTACTAGTGATATATTTCTATTTCATTTTATCCTATACATTCTATCTCACATTATCCTACACGTCTTATCATGTTTGACATAGTTTAAAGGCAGTTTCACATCATGTCGGCCATGTTTAATACTCTCCTTAGCACCTTTGTCATACTGACTTAAGCTGGTTGCGCCTTTTTAATAAATCTAGGACTCCAGCAAGCAGTAAGTGAATTGACCAATCACAGTAGAGACCGTAAGGCCAGTAGCGAATCCAATGTTACGATTTCCTTACTAATACGTCTTAGGGACTTATGCTGGATTTACACTGCATCTGATTTTCGTCGTACGACGCTCTGCAACCAATCAGAAAACAGGATTCCGATGGATTTTACTTCGTATCATCGGAATCTTATTTTCTGATTGGTTGCAGAGCGTTGTACGACGAAAATCGGATGCAGTGTGAATCCAGCATTACGTTTTTCTATGTGCTCCCGTCTTTAAAGTTGGAAACACAATAGATACAGGCAATAGGCACAGGCAAAAGGGAATAACGAGCCGTTCAATCAGAGCTCTGAGATATAATATCGAACTTATACCCCAAAGCTCTGATTGGACGGTTCGTTATTCCCTGTTGCCTGTGCTTATTGCCTGTGGCTATTGTGTTTGCAGCTTAAAGCTCATGACACATACACGAACGTAAGGCCGTAACACGCAAGCAGTAAGTGTATTGACCAATCACAATAGAGACCGTAAAGTCAGTAGCGAATCCAATGTTACGATTTCTTTAAGGACATTCCACACAAACTTGCATAGTCGCATAAACATATGCATAAAGAAAATCATCCAATCGTAGTTACGCTTGTCTTTATGACAGAAATGTGATTGGATAATTTTCTTTAGTCCAGATCTACAATAGGTGTTTTATGCCTTATGCCGTAAGAAACTGACCAATTACAGTCGAATCCGAGAAGAATAAGCGACTGTGATTCGCCCATTTCTTATGGCTTAAGGCTTAAAACCCTATTGTAGATCCGGGGTTATGCATATGGTTATGCGGCTCTGCAAGTTTGTGTGGAATGGCCCTTACTGATTACGCCTTACGGCTTTACGTTTTTCTATGTGCTCCCGGCTTTAAGCGGGGAGCACAGACTCTTACATAACGCATAAAACATGAGGCATAAGAAAATCAACTAATCAGAGTCCTTTATTTCACGGAAAGGAAGGAAATAAAGCACTTTGATTGCTTCATTTTCTTATGTCTCATGTGTTATGCATTATGAAAGAGTCTGTGCTCCCGCTTCACTGATTATGTCGTACGGACTTACGTTTTTCTATATGCCGTGGGCTTAATCAAGTGCACGATGTAAACTATAGGCCAATGTAAAGTGTATGAGCCCAGACACAAGCTTTTGCATAACGCATAACGCATAGTGCATAAGCGAATCAACTAATCAGAAGCTTTCCTTTCCTCTCATTCCATGGAAAAGA